CTCAACTTCTTATTAGGGAGCCTTAACCTCAAGTACTTGGTGGATAGGTAGACCTTCTCCCCCACCTGGAATAGCCTTTGTGGGGCCCGGTGTTTGTCTGCCTGTTTTTTATAGCTCTGTGCCGCTTTTGCCAGTGCCTTTTTTATGTTCTCCCAAGTTGCTTTCAGTGTTGACATCCAATCGGTCAGGCTGACTGAGGAGGGGGGAATTCCTTGGATGCTTAGGCATTGGGACAAAGTCCATTTCGCTCACTACCTTGAAGGGAGTTAATCCCATGCTACTGTGAACAGCATAATTGTACGTGACCTCCGCAAAAGGCAGGAGGTCTGCCCAATTGGTTGCTGATAATTTATGTAGCATCTCAGATACTGCTCTACCATAGTGTTCAATCTCTTTGCTTGGATAAAAAGCCGAGCTAAGACTCTGGAATGACCAATAGCAGGAACTCCCTCCAAAATTTAGCTGTGAACTGGACACCTCTGTCTGAGATAATTCTTCATGGTACTTCAGGAAGGCAGTAGATGTGTTTCAAAAATAGTTTGGCTAACTGGTGGGCTGAGGTAGCCCGCTGCATGGTATGAAATGTGCCTGTTTGGAAAATAAGTCTATTACAGTCCAGATCACCATGTTTCCTCCACTTTTCGGTAACTCTACTATGAAATCCATTGCGATCTCCTCCCACGATCTCGTTGGTTCCGCAACCATCTGTAGCAATTCAGAGGGTTTCCCTGGTCATTTTTTCATTGCGGCGCAAATGGTGCAACTGTTCACATAGTTGTCCACGCCTTTCTTTATGCCAGGCCACCAGAATTGCCTCCAAGGTAAGTGTAAAGTCTTTAAAAACCCGAAGTGGCCTGCCGGTTTGGCGTCGTGGCTCCTCTGAAGGACTAGAGTATGTAGGGATGTGGAGATTTGTTCCTTTCTAGGCTAGGTCATCTCTTTTCATTAAGATGTGTTGATTGTCCCAGATCCAATTTTATTAGCTAGCAGTTCAGTTTTTAATTCGTGGCTAAGTCATCTGCGGGTCGGTCTTGTCAGTTGCATCATCATCTGGTGGTTACTTGGGCAGCTATTTGGATAGGGGGAATGATGGCATTTATAATCTTCTCCCTTTCGCATTTATACTGGGGCATGGAGAGAGGGCATCAGCCAGAAAGTTCACACAGAAAGTGTGTTTTAGCACAAAGTCGAATCAGTTGAAGTATTGGGCCTAGCAGACTTATTTGGTTGATAGTTTTCACTTTCCAGATTTTTATGGTCAGTCCAAACTTCAAATGGCTTCTGGCCCCTTTCCAGCAGGAGATGCCAGATCTGCAGTGCCCATCTTATTGCAAAAGCCTCTTTCTCCCATGCAGCCCATTGCCTGTCTATGTCTGTGAGTTTACAGGAGGTATAGGTGCAGGGCTGTAGGTTTCTTTTGTCGTTTCTTTGGAGTAATACTGCCACTGCCACGTCGCTGGCGTCTGCTTGAATGATGAAGGGTTGTTCGGTGTCAGGGTGCTTCAGCACTGGTTTTTTTGCAAACAGTTCTTTCAGCGTTTCAAATGATTTTTGGCAGGTTAGGTCCCACTATAGGGCTTGTCCCGGGTGGGGTTTCGTTTCTGTGCTCCCTGTCTTTAGAAGGCCTGCCATGGGTTTGGCAATCCTCACAAAGGAGAAGATGAATTGTCAGTAGAAGTTTGCAAACCCCAGAAAGCTTTGTAGCTGTCTGTGGGTACGAGGGGCTTGCCAACCAAGGACGACTTGTACTTTGGCTGGGTCCATTTCTATGCCTTTATTTGAGACTTGGTATCCCAGGTACTCCAACTATTCATGGTGAAATTTGCATTTCAACAGCTTGACGTACAGATTTGCTGCTAGAACGTTTTCCAGTACTTGGCGCACTAGGGGTATGTGGTCGTCCATCATCTCAGCGTAGATGAGGGTAGATCAAGTAGACAAGATCAAGTAGACAATGTAGATCAAGTAGACAAGGACCCTCTTATAAACATGTTTGTGTAGCACCTTGTCTATTAATTACATGAACACCGATGGGGCATTCTATAGTCCGAAAGTCTTGACTTTGAATTGAAAGCTCCGTAGGGGGCAGTTGAATGCTGTTTTCCATTTGTCTCCCTCTCTGATGCAAACTCGATAGTATGCTTCTCTGAGGTCTAATTTGGTGAAGACCTTCCCTTTGGCCAGGTGGGATAGCATGTCCTTCATGAGTGAGAAGGGATATAGGTTGTGTACACACAGTACATTGATCGCTGTAAAGTCAATGTATAATCTCATGGTCCCATCTTTTTTTCTTTGAACAGGACTGGGGCTGTGACCCATGACTCAGTTTGATTAAAGCCCTTTTAAAGTTTTTGTCTATATATTTGTGCATTTCTTGCATTTCACGGGGCATCATGGTGTATATCTGATGGTGAGGAAGAGGTTGGGGTCCCTTTGCTATCCTCAACCTGTGGCTGCCCTCTTGCCACCAGATGGTCCAGCTCCACTTGTCTAGCCAGGAAACTCCCAGTATGATTGCAGGTGTCATTTGGGAAGCTACTACAAATCGTCTCCCAGTGTTCCGCTACCTCTAGTCTCACTGATTCAGTTAAGTGAGTGGTGTAGGCTCCTCCCAGTAGGGAGCCATCTATTTGTTCGAACCAGATCGGATGGGCTTGCTTTTTCTCTCTGATCCACAGTTTTAGGACCATAGTCAGATTGATCAGGTACCTGGTGCAGCCTGAATTTATTAAGGCTTGGAAAATTTCCTTATTCCCTGTCTTGGGGGTTGTAAGACATATTGGGAAAAATGAAAGAGGAAATCAGTCCACTCACCATTGAATTGTCTTCACCCTCGTCCTGACTGTCGTAAGGATCCAGCGACTGGTTGTTGTTGTCCAGAGTTCCTTCCCCCTCAGCTGGCTGAAGAGGGACCTCTGCAGCCTGAAGAACCCTCTGGGATATATTGGTGGCACATCTGGGGACTTGTTCAGGTCGTGCCCTGGGTGGTGGTTTCGGCTTTGGTCTTGAATCTGGGGTTGTGCACACTGCTATGTGCCCTACTTCTCCACATCAGTATCATTTAATTGGGCTTCATGAGAGGGTTGGTCTTGAGGCAGATTGTGGTGTGCCTTCCCATTGGTTTGGTGGCCTCTGGTTTGGTTGCCCTCTGTCTCTGGTCCCCAGTGGCTTCTTCATATTGTTAGCGTGTAATTCCCATTGACTTTTATGGCTACTCGGAACCACTCCAAGAGTCTGTTGGGAATGTCATGATAGGCAGTTACTTTGCTAATTTGCTGGTCCAGGCTGGTTCTGAAAAAAATGAACCAGCATTTGTTCAGGCAAAAGGGGTAGCTTCCCACTGATTCTCCTGAATTCACAGATGGGTCGCCCTCCTTGCTTTCGGTTGCTGAGTTCATCTGCATACGGGTCATCTTCTGCCTCCTCAAATCTGGCCTCTAGTAGTCGTAGGAAGTCCTCTGCATCATGCAGTTGGGGGGCCCTTCTCTTGTGGAAGATTGCTAGCCATTCTCTTGCTTCTCCCTCCAGCCCCTCAGAAATGGCATTTACCATGGCTGTAGGGTAGAGGTGTGCATAACATTCTAGGCGGATCTCAGCTGAGTCAAGGAATAGAGCTAACTGGTCTGGGTCCTCATGAAATTTCCCCCTGAACCAGTTCATAGAGCTCTGCTCTGCCCTCCTCTGTAAGTCTGTGCTGGAGGTGGCTGACCTTCCTCCCTGGCTCTAGTTCGTGCAGAAGGAGGAAGAAGATACCTGTTGTGTGTGGGAGGCACTGGTTGCTGCTGTGGTCTCTTTCTTCTTCTGCTGGGTAGAGGAGGAGGGCTGTAATCTTGCCTGCTTCTCCTCCTGTCAGAAGACTCTGTGGGAGGTCCCCTCTGTTTTGAGTCGCATGACGGGCCCTCCTCTCCAATGGCAGCTTGGTCAAATTCCTCCCTCAGCTGCTCTATGGATCTTCCCAGGGATCCCGACAGGAGCTTTGGGGCTCTGGCTTGTTCCCAATCCCATATCCATTCCACTCTTGTCAGCTCACTCAGGACTCTTCCTCCCTTTTTAAGGTGGGGGAGCTCACCTTCCAAAGCTGTGGGAGATTTCATTTCCTTTATTTGTTCAGGCCTTTCAGCTCCACCTGTGATTGTGTCCTCAGCTTCTGTTTGTAGCTGGGCTTCTTCTAGAAGGATTTCTTCCGAGTGTCCCCCCTCTGCCATTTTAACCTGACTTTCTCTCCATGCATTCCAGATGTCGGGAAGCAATTGAAGAGGCCTGGGGTCAGGTATCCCAGAATGGTGAATTTTTAGAGTATCAGCTGTCTGTCAGGGCTCCAACAAATCCACCCTAATTCAAATCAAAAGTCTCTAGCTGCATCTCAGAGAAAAGTAAATTGACCAATTATTGACTTATTATCCTAAATGGAATTTTTCAGAGGCTATATGCTACCAAATACACTAGCTTAGCAGGTACATAACAATCCATGTATCATGGATGCACCTTAAGCAGACTTGGATGACAAGAAAGAGCCCGCTTCAGGAACTTGGGAAGAAAGAAATGCAGCTGCAGCCAAGATACTTGGAAGGCCAGCCAGATGCAAGGAGAAAGGGCACATTTGCAACCAATGTGCAGGGATGAGGAGGAGCTGTCTTTTCTGCCAGATCCTAGGGCACGCAGGGTCAAGAGGAGAGAGGTGCAACAGAAGTTGGTGAGCCACTTATAAGGAGGCACACTTGCCACACTAATGAATTGCATTGACTGACAGCTATTTATTCCTGCATGTGGAGCAGAGTGACAATGAGAATAATTCTTCAATTTCAGATCATGCTTTGTTCAGCCACTGTGTCCCTTGCTTTAGAACTTCATCCTTGACTGTTTTTGGACCTAGGACTTTGCCTTGTGGACTTTAAAATTGGATTTTGGTTTATGGGGTTTGTGTCTTGGATCATGGACGTATCTTTGCTGGTCTTGCTCTGTGTTTTTCCTAACTTGGGAAGAAGATAGTTGGTTCTCACCTGATATGACCTTTCTCTTTGGGTGGAGATAGCATTCAGGATTGGATGATCAGTCTCCGCTTGCTGATTGGACTTAGTCTGTCAAATCTTTGAGGATACTCCCTCTGTTGCTAGGGACCTCCCAGAAATTGGTGAAGGAATATTGACAGACTGACATGTTCTCCTATAACAGTGACATATAAATATAAATACAATAACATTTGGAATAGACCAGAAAAAGGTGGGACTGAATGCTATCTCTATCCAAAGAGAAAGGTCATATCAAGTGAAAACCAACAACCCTTCTCCATTGTGGTGGAGATAGCATTCAGGATTGGGACATACCAAAACTGGCTGCCCTATGGGTGGGCCTAGTGAGGTCCGAATCCCCTAGACAGGATAGACCTTTTGCAGACCTTTCTGTCCAAAAGCTGCCTCAACAAAAGCAAAAGAGTCTAGCTTATTGTGTCTCATGAACAAAGAAGGCAAGGCCCAGGTAGCCACCCTGCAAACCTCCTATAAAGAGGCCTGAGTGGCCTCACTGCCGATGTGGCCTCACTTCTTGTTGAGTGTGCCAGTCCTTGGGTTTGGTAGGCCTTGAATATGCACAGTCTTATTCATATCCCGTCATTGGAGTAACCTTGCAACCTATAGTAGAAGTTTGAAAGGAAATAAAGAGGGATTCAGACCTTCTGAAGGGCGATGTCCTCTTAACATAAATCCGCAAGGCTCTGAGAACAACCAGAGTGTGCCATCTTCTTTCTAAGGCATGTACAGGATGCGGGCAAAAATCAGGTAAGATTAGTTTCTGGGCTCTGTGGAACCAATGAGTTCACCTTTGGCATGAGTGAAGGGTCTAGTCTTAACACCACTCAGTTGGTATGGAACACACAAAGGTCCTTCCTGAGAGATAAAGCTGCCAAATCTGAAATCCTCCTGGCAGAGGTAATTTCTACCAGGAAGGCCACCTTGCAAGACAAAACTGCAAGGAAGTGGACCTCAGTGGTTCACATGGGGCCTCAGTCCAAGACTGCAGTACTTTAGAGAGGTCCCTTGTTGGAAATTGATGAACCACTGGAAGCTTCAGGTTTATAGCACCCTTCAGAAAACTGCGGACAGTGGGATGTCTAGACAAGGATTCCACTCCCCCCAAGGACAGAACAGAGGACAAGGCTGCCACCTGCCTCCGCAATGTGTTAGGAGAAAGCCCCTTATCTAGGCCCTCTTGGCAGAAGTCCAGCACCTGTGCAATCGAGGCCCCAGTGGGGACAATGTCAGACCTAGAACACCATTCGCTGAAAGTCTTCCAGGTTGCATCTTAGCTGTGGTTGGTGGAGGGTCTCCTGGAGGCCTGGATGGTTCTTATTACTCTGGAGGAATAATTGTCCCGGATCAGAGATCCCTGCTCAATCTCCAGGCGGCCAACTGAAGTCCCTGGGGCTCTGGGTGCCATACTGGCCCCTGGCTGAGTGATACTCTGTCCTCTGGTATCCTCCAAGGTCTGGAGATGGAGAGATTTACTAAGTCCGCAAACCATGGCCTTCTGGGCCAAGGATAAGCTCTGCTCTTTCCGCCAACAGTTTCTGGATCACTCTCAGGATCAGAGGCAGGGGAGGAAAGGCATAAAGTAGCTCCGGTGGCCAAGGGCTGTGTAAGACATTCGTTCCCTCTGTCCCCGGAACCACAAACCTGTAGTAGAACCTCAGGAGTTGTGTGTTGTCCAGGGAAGTGAAGAGGTCCACAGCTGGTACTCCGAATCACTCCAACAGCTCCTGAAATCGGGGTGCAAACTCCACTCTGCGTGATCAATGGTCGCTCTACTAAGCCTGTCAGCCTCAACAATGGCCACACCAGCAATGTGTTCAGCTCTGAGCAATACCTGGTGTCTCTCTGCCCATAAGCAGAGTTTTTCTGCCTCAAGCATCAGCGGCCATGAATGTGTCCCACCTTGGCTGTTAATGCGCACCTTGGTTGATACAAAAAAACAAGGATGTCCTTACCTGAGACAGATTCCTCTAGGGTTTTCAAGGGCCAGATGGACCATCCTAAGCTCTAGCTAATTAACGTTATGGTCCAAATCTGCCTGGGACCATTGTTCCTGGACCATCCTGGATTGGAGATGGGTTCCCCAGCCATAGAGACTGGCATCCATGGTCAGCACTAACCTGTCAGGTTCCTTGAATAAGAGCCCCAGGGAGAGGGCCTCAGATGACCACCATCATAAGGATCGCAAGACCAGAGATGTCAGTCTGACCTGTAGAAGGGAACAATTCCTACCTGTCTTCTGATATGGGAGAAGAAACCACTGGAGTGGCCTGGCATGGAATCTAGCCCAGGGCACAATATTAATACAAGATAACATTTCCCCCAGGAGCTTGGAAAGCATAGCCAGGGACACCCTATGTTTAGGTTTTGCTTGCCCAATTAACTTCCTGACATTCCCCTTATGTTCTTGGGATAAGGACACCTTGCAGGAAATGGTATCTATTACAGTTCCCAGATGGAGTAGAGAGGTGGTGGGAGTGAAGTGGCTTTTGGCCTCGTTGACAGAGAAGCCATGCCCTTGGAGCACCTGAATGGTGATTTCCAAATCCTCTGTTGCTTGAGATGGGGAGTATGACTGGACCCGTATGTCACCCAGGTAACACTGGACTCTTACTGGGATGGCCCGGATATGGGCTGACAGGGCTGCCAACAGCTTTGTGAATGTTCTGGCGGCAGAGGAAAGCCCAGAGGGCAAGGCCCTATATTGATGGCGCCTCCCATTATAGCAGAACGTGAGGAATTGTCTATGGGACAGAAGAATCAGGACATGAAGATAGGCCTCTTAAATCTATGGAGGTCAGGAAATCCCCTTCCTTAATCCCCTCTAGAATCGACTGGAGGGAATGCATTTTAAACCACCTGTATTTCACCCAGCAGGTAAGATGCTTCAAGTCCAGAATTGCTCTCCATCCCCCCAAGGCTTTAGGGATTACAAACAAGATGGAATAAAATCCCATGCCCTGTTGATCCTCAGGCACCGTCTGAACTGCCTGGATTTCAAGTAGGTGCTTAATAGCTGTTTCTATAAGGACCTTTCTCTCCCTGTTCTTGGAAACAGGACAGTGAATAAAAAACCTCGGGGGTGTAGAGAGGAACTCAAAGAAAAGACCCAAGCTGATAGTCTCCAGGACCCAAGTGTCTGTGGTTACCTCCTCACAATGCCTGGCAAATAATGCCAGACTTCCCCCCAATGGGAGGGTTGACATCTAATTTATCTGGGGCATCGGAAGGGATGACCCCACAGCCCCTCAAAAGGGCCACTTATTGTTAAATGGGCGATTTCTACCTGTCCTGCCCTGGGGTTGATCCTGCCTGGGGACGAAAGGCCTCTGGGGCCTAGAAAACCTCCCTCCTGCTTCGGGAGTCCTATAATAGGAATGTCTGAGAAAGGGAGTTGATCCTAAATCATCCCTTCTCGACCTGGATGGCAAGACCTTCCCTTTGTCCTTGGACTCCACCAGTACTTTGTCCAGAGCCTCTCCAAATAATTTATTCCCTTTAAAGGGAGCAGTGGCCAACCTCCACTTATGTCACATATCAAATTGCCATTGTCTTAGCCAGAGCAGGCGGCAAGAGGTCACAGTCCCCCCTATTGTCCTAGATACAAATCTGGCCGCACTGAGGGTGGCATCAGCTGAAAATTCCACTGCTGCTAATAGCTTGTTCACATATTGGTGTGATCTCATGTTGTCCAGTGGAATTCTCTCTTGCAGCTCCTGGAGCCCGATATGAGGCCCTGTTGAAAAGGGATGCGGCCGTGGAGGCCCTCACTGCTCATGCTGCTGACAGGTGTGTTCTCTGCAATGTCTCTTGTCCTCTGCTTTCAGTGAGTCCTCAGGCTCAGTGTTCACTTGCAGGGCCACAACTGGGGCATTGACAGTGGGCACTTCCAGGGCCTTGGAGAGGTCACCTCCCATGTTGAACAGCTTCTTGTCCAGGGAGGAAGGGCTTGGACCCAACCCAAGGGATGACCACTGCCTTTGGATGACCATGGTGAACATCCTTGGCACAGGGACGACATCTGTTGTTACTGGGGGGTTTTGAGGGGGAAATAGTAGGTCATTGGGGTCTTCAGAAGGTCAGTAGGCTCCCCATGGTTCAGGAACCAAGGCCCACCCTGTGGCTTTTTTAGCCTTGAAGAGGAGCGACCTGAAGATGGCTGGTTGGAACAGGCCTGGCACAGAGACTTGTTCAGCCTTATTGAGGCCTTCATCATCAGAGTAATCTCTGTCCATCATTTACCCACTGTCAGATGGGATGGAGTGGGAGCTTTCAGCAGGGGCATAGAACCCTGATTCTGAATGTAGGGAGAGATCATCCTTATGATGACATCTGTGTCTCCTACTATGCTTGGATGAAGGAGCTGGAGCCTCTGAAGGCTAACACCTAGTCTGTTTTAAAACTGTTGACACACTTGCCTCATTTAAAAGAGCCTACAGGTTGGAATTCAGGCTCTTGCCTCCTGACTGGTCTAATGCCAGCTGACATGGTAGTAAATGTGGCTTCTGGAGCCATTCTGGGTCTCTGACCTATAACTGACAGTTCTGTTGCTGGGCAGACTGAGAAAAAAGCCCCTGAAGCCTCAATAGATTCCTGTTGCTCTTCAGCTCTCCTTGTGGCCATTCCTGTTACTGCACCCCTGTCAGTTTGCAGTTGCCTATCTCCTCTTAATAACGGTTGCTCCTCATTTAGACAGGAAACTATACTGGGCACCATTTCTTCTGAAGTTTGGGCCACTTCTTTTCCTCGAGCTCACAACTTTTCAAGAACCCTGTCTGTATAGCGCTCGTCCTGCTCAGCTTCTTTGGAGCTCTTTTGAGCCCCTGCAACCTTGTCCTTTGGCTTGGGCTATAACAGGAAGACATCTGGTCTGGGGCTGCTGGGCTTAGAGAGCATGATGGCCTGCGAGCAGTCTCCTCAACTCTCCTGAAAGCGAGGCTAGCGTTCTGCCATTTTTAATTATAATGCTATTATTCCAGTTTCCATAAGTTATTCTGCAGCCTTCCTATCACTACGTTATCTAAAGATTACTCTCCTTACCTGGCCTGTCAATGTGTGAGGAGATTTCTGCCTTCACTGTAGTTTTCTGCCGCTTCAACGCTGCCACATTAAAACAGGCGTACGCACAGCTGTATTTCAGCCATTGAGAGCCTTGCCAAGCCAAAGCGCAGGGATGTGGTGTGGATGGTGTTTCTACACACCTCCCATGAAAAAACAATGTATATCGTCCCTTAACTGATCTGTTGTCCGCTGAAATAGTATTCAGGATTGGTGATTTTTTAAAATTTATTGAATTAAATTACTTCAAATTTTTATTCTTTAGGAGAAGAAATTAACATGTCATCCAGCTAGCTGACTGAGTCAATTTCTGGGAGGTCCCTAGCAACAGAGGGAATGTCCTCAAAGATTTGACAGACTCAGTCCAATCAGCAAGTGGAGATTGATCACCCAATCCTGAATGCTATCTCCACCACAAAGGAAAATTGTGGAATTCTATATTGTAAATTCCCATCTCATACCATTAATATATACATAGATATACACATAGATGTGTGAACCAGCCTTATAGCTTTCCCCCCAAAAAAAATTTATTAAAACATACAGTACTATATTAAAGCATACCTGTTAATTTCTATATATGCATATATTTGGGAAAATTGGAGTCATCTGGGTCTTGTTCTGGTTCCTATGTGGGGAATCCTGGGGACTACTATTCAGGGCAGGTGAAACCTCAATAAAGATTTCAAACCCATGTGATATATGCATGTTTGACTGGGACAGGACTCCATGCCTAGTTTGTGCTTCCCAGAAGTTCATAACTATGAAAACAGGATACTAGATAAACAATTTTATCCACACAATTTTAAGACAGTTTAAATAGATCATCATGAGTAACACATAGTAACACATAGGGAATTTTAAACCTAGTAATAGCCCTTGAAAATGCAATAGATCAGGAGTGATAAATCCACATCATCACGGCAGTGTCATTACAACTTTTTCCCACTAAGTCTGGCATGGGCGTGGTCAGCACATCATGCATTCAGCTTGTGAGCCGCGAGTTTGATAGCCCTGCAATAGATCTACAAACCAACTATACTTCCAGTTGAAGATGCAGTATTTCGTGCCCAGTTCTCCATTTTAACTGTCAACTCCTGCGTCTGTGTCCTGGAGGAACACAATAGTAGAACTGACCTTGATTTTTTAAATTAATTGAAGCTCAACTAAAAGGTAGATTTAAGATAATGTTAAAAATTCTATAATATGTTGTAAATTCCCATCTCATACCATTAACATATACATAGAAATCAAATTGAGTTCATAGATGTGTGAACCAGCCTTATAGCTTTTCCCCCCAAATTTTTTATTAAAACATACACTACTATATTAAAGCACATTCGTTAATTTCTATATATGCATATACTTTTAAGTCTTGGGAATTTTGCTAGGTTTTTAAAAAAGAAAATTATTGCTGATACCTTTAAATGTTTTTGTCTATTTAAAAATAAAATAAATTTATAACATGAGAGTACTCAGTTAAAAAAACCAAATTGAATCTTTCCACAAGATCCATTAATCCTCCAAGACAAATTCTCTTTGTCATGGATCAAGGCTGTTGAGTCCAGATTTGCCAAACTAGGCTTCTCCCCAGCCTCAATACTCAAGCTGAACTACAACAAAACAAAACATGATAAAGGGTAGAGAACATCGAATGGCAATCGGACTTAGGGAAAATTCGATTGTTTCTGGCTCCAGATGCCATTAGATATGTTGTTACTCCTGTCAGTTATCTTAGCCAGTTGGAGTCAGCAAGCCATAGGAAAGCATTTTTGCTCCCACTGTTCCATGTGCTTCCATCAGCCATCCGGTACGGCAAGTATAAAAATATACCATCGACTGAAATATACCATTATGGCTTAGGAGAGGTGGAGATCATTGGTCACATATTCCTTTGATGTTCCTTTTACAGAGATATTCAGAAAAACCATATTATTCCAATAATTGCTAGATAACCTGGCTGTTCTGACACTGCTTATCTCCAGTGGCTGCTTAAGGATGAACAGTCCATAATTAGAGTGCAAGTGGCTACATTCTGCGCAGCACCACTGGGGATTCGTCGGAAACACATGTCTAATCCATCATAGCTATTTTATACAACAAATGTGGCAAACCCTTTGCACTGTTTATTCCTTTCCCTTTTAGTATTAAACTGACAATGGGCCACACTGTTTATGGACTGTAATTTTAATATAGTTAAATAATTATGTACAATTGACAGACTGGATTTTATCAAAGATTTTAGTTGTTATTTATTATTTTAAACTAGAATTTTTTTTTAAAGTTTCATTTGGGTTTTCACAAAAACAAAATACAAATAAAACATCTTTTTTGAAAATAGCATGGACCCAGGTTATCACTTCTTCATACAGACACCAAACTCAATTTCATGCTCATTTTCATATTCTATTCCATATCTTATTACCATTTTATATTTTCTACATAGTTCCCCCCTCTTTTAATTTTGTCAACTTTATTTTAATTATCTCATCTCAATCAAATCATTATATTTATACTTTTGTCTGTCCTGTTTCAATTTCATATTATCTTTTCTTATTAAACAAATTTTTCCCTTGTAGTTACCAATTGGAGTATGACACCTTTATATCTTTTAATTTTATCCATTCAAACTCTTATTTAAGCTTCAATGTATAGCTTTAAGATTATAGCATTCAGTATAATACATAACTTCCAATCAAATTCTGCTTGGTACATTCTTAAAATACACACTATATTCTTAAAAAGAAAAAATTATATGTATGTGTATATATATATGTGTGTGTAAATAAAGCACACGTTCCATTCCAATTCAATTCTATCATTAATATTCATTAAAATCTTAACATCTTTAACATTTCTTTTCAATTAAATATCATACTTCCTTGG